ACATAATCAGACCTGCTCGCAGCATCCTGCCCACTGAACATCAGCTCACACACATGGATCCCCTAAGATGACACTGATCCCACTGAAAATGAATTATAATCCATTATTTCAAACTTCTCCTCCAAAAGGAAGTTATTTTTATTCAACTGTGTCTTTCTCGACTGATACAAATGTGTGTTTGATGATTTTTGTCATAAACAGGTCTTTTGGAATTAATGAAAATGAAAAGCAAGTTCTCAGGCTCACCCTGAGGGACTTTGTCAAATGTTGATGGATTTCTGTGTGCACTGACAAGTAAAAACTAATATCTAGAAAATAAGAAATCACAAAACTATTCTACATATTAATGAGTGATTTCAAACAGTCTACGCCTGCACTGGATGCACCACCCAGCCCACCAGGCACAGAGCACAGCTCCCCTCAAACAAAACTTTCAGTGCCACAGTCGGAGCAGCAACATCTGGCTCTTATTAGGATCAAATTAAGTAGAAATGAATGGGATGATACATGACAGGGTGCAGATGTTCAAAGCCGTGGTGTGAAAATCTGAGGGCAGAAAACGGCTTAATGAATTCTGCGTCTGAGTGCAGCAGAGGTGAGGCTCTGGGTTCTTAGGTTTAAAAAAAAAAAAAGTAATTGAATTCTGAAGCAGACACACAGCAAAATAAATGTCTGTTGTGTATCGCTCCCCTTATTTACCTTTGGCGTGATCAGGGACAATGTTATGATTTGCAGTTAATCAAGTGATACAGGAAAGTGTTCTGCTCTTTTGTGATTTATTAACAAATGCACATCTGTCGACCAGGTTAGTGAAAATATTTAACATGTGCAAAATTTTAACACGTTTGGTTAAATAAGTATAATAACAAAAGGATTTATAACCTCCCCCCAAGATTTACCTTTTTAAAATTATACTTTGTGAAAATATCTACATCAATGTCCGAGAATGAAACGGTGCAACTTGTACCCTTGTAGCTTCGACCGTTCTTGGTTTTATATGGAGTTTCTGGGTTTTATGTATGGGTCTCACTATTTTATGTCACCTTTCCTGCATCCACACAAACATAGTATAATATAGTAACATTATATTAACTACCTCCGCCTGGAAGACGGGCACAGACACATAACAGCTCTCAGTTGAGGGCAGGTTTCTTTAGAGCCATCAGAATTGAAGCCAAACAGGGTAAAACTCAATTTAACATTGATGATGTCATCACACAATGTGACTTTTAGCTGGCTGTCGAGGCTGAACGACTCAATAGTTACCTCATTGTTGAATCACAATTCTCTTAATTACGTCCTTGAGATCTATTATTTTAGTTTATTTTCCTTCTGCGGTGTGGGGCTACGTCTCTTTTAAATCACTGAGTCTCCCTTTTCTTGTTAATGTCTCCCCAGCCTGCGCACTGAGCTCCAGGGCTGCACAGGGCCAAGTCTAATTTACACATTCTCACTGGCATAATGTTTAAGGGTGTTTTCCCTCTACTGACTACACTGCAGTTTTTGCATGATATTGTAGGAAAGTTATGACGTAGTAGATGACATTTAGCAAAGGGTTAAAGACGGACAAGAGTGGGGTTCTGTAATGGGTTTATTGTTTGGTATGTTTTGCAGAGAAATAATATACACACCATTCTTGATTTGGATTGATTCTTCGGATTTGGTGATTCCATATTTCTTCTTACTGGTGCAACAAAAAAGAAAATGATGACTTTGAAATGAGCTGAATTTTTCCTATGTATTAGAATAATGAACAATGCTTGTGACATTTTGAACAATACCAGGAAAAACAATGGTATTAGTAGCGTTTTAGCATTATGTAGAATAAACAGCACTGTTTGATCTAACAACTTATTAAAATACTGTTTTACTTGTATGTGCATATTTCCATCACAAGTACAGAAAGTTAAAAGGAAAGGGAGGAGGACGCATCAGGTAGAATTTGAATAGCCTACACAACAGTGAGAAAATCCAAATCCAATATAATATACTGTTGACAGTCAATTACAAAAACCGGAATTTATTAATTCATCTATAACAAAAATATTAATTTCTTTTCATAACTGTATACATGCCTTTTTTTTATATCGACACCGTTCTTCTTACAGTTCTGTATTAACCCAAGCATAAGGCAAAACAAATAGTATAAGCTGTGTCCGAGACCTTTTTCTATTGTTGGCATCCTGAGGGAGCAGTTCTTTTTACTATTCCAAGTAGAGGGCAGGTGAGTTATTTCTTTGGCTGAGTTTTACATGTGACTGTGTTCATGCATATTACAGAGCACCCTATAAAAATATTTTAAGGCCAGACCTACTTCCCTGCACAGGAGATGTATCATACTTTGTTCCAAATGTTCTGACACATAAACAGACATTTCTGGTAATTCACAGCTGAGGAAAATTCTTTCTCACTCTCAATGTTTCTATAGCTCTGTGCATACAGCACGAGCAGATGAGACCAAATGCAATTCTTCTTAAGTTGAACAATCTTGTATAACCGATGTCAGATAAATGCACCTATGCTACTAACATACAGTGCGGACAGACACACACCCGCATACACTTCTCCGACTTTGCAAGCACACTCAATCTTTCTGGGCTGGCACTTTCAACAGGAAACTGACAGTATTATGTGACACCATGGAATGTTCTAGGGAGCAGCAGCCGAGCAGCACTGACCTACACCCAACAACAATACCTCTTTTTGTCCTCCCTTTCTCTCAAAATCTCAGCTCTACTCTCAAATGCAGGTGTGGCGCTCTGAAATACATGCTTTTTTTCAATCGACATAGTTAAAAAACAAAACAAAAATGAAGTAAGTGTTCCATAGCAAAAATTCAGCACTGAGCCACAGTTCTCTTGATGCAGGGTTTTACAAGAACATTATGCTTTACTTTTAAATTCATCCACAGTGGGAACAAAACGACCTTAAACAAAATATTACATATTAACTTGCACTTGATTTCCCTAATGATACTGACAACCCTAATAATATGTACATTTATGGAGGAGGAATAAAAGTTTTAACCAAATTACTTTTTCAACTGTAATTGTTGAAATTTTGTTTTTCTGTGAATAATTTGCATTAATATACTGGGTTTTAGTAGATTTCATTTAAACTCATATTTAACCAAACCTCTGTCTGCCTGGATTTTCAGTAAAGAGGTTTAGATTGGAGGTCAGTAAGTGTGACACTCTGCCAAGTTCCATGGGGTTGAAGACCAATCTTTGTTTTTTGGAAACTTGAGTCATATCGGTTGGTTCCAGCAACTTAAGCATCACTGTCTGAGCAGTTGTGCTGATTTCACAATGCTGTCAGATATATAATCAGGGAATATTCAATGAATTGTGATACAACTTGAAAGTTTGTTTTGAAAGGATGATGTACTGTCTGGTCAAAACCAATAAGCTGTTTGGGTTGAAAATTATATGTAAACAGCATATGTATATTTCTCTAGTGAACTAGAAAGTAATCAGAAGGATTTGTTACAGCTCTTGTTAAACTCTACAAACAATAGTTTTCTTCATCAATTTAGTTGTTAATGTTTTCATGATTTCGTTGAGCTGCCTTTTCCTGCTTGTCCTGATGTGGGGGATTTGAGGCTTGCCGTGGCTTCAGTGGGGTTTCAGCCACACAGCAGGAAGAAGATAAAAAGGGGGGCTTTGGAGGAAGCGAAAAAAAATCACAGCGCATTAAAAACAAATCTACTGGGGGATCCACCAGCAGCTTAAGTAAGCCAAGATGATTAAAGGGTCAGTGGTCATTCACTGCAGGTTGAACGTACCTGATGCCACTTACCTCGGCCCACAAGAGGTGTTGCCAAAACCAATCTCTCAAAATCAAAAACATACACAAGAAACACAGTGAAGGTCAATGAAAAGTTACAGTAGTTGAAGACGACTATCAGCAGATCTCTTGGCTTGTTCAGTTTTCCTTATTGTAAAATTGATTTCTGTTTTTCCCAACTTTAGAGCAGCCATTATTTTCAATTAACTTAACCGTGAAAATAAACCTACAGATGCCTGAAGTTTGGTCCAGCTTGTCACCCCATAAGAAACATGTCAGCTTTTACTCCTTGGTTTAATTTCATTGTATAATGCATTTGTTGCAGAGATTGATTTTTAATATCTGCACTAAATCAACATACAACAGCTTTGAAAATATGAAGATTTAAAGCAGATGTGATGGTCACACTGAAAGATTACCTATCTTGTACAAGTCTTTATTTTCATTCTCCACTGACATGAATGGAAACAATTGGTTGCCTTTGACAGTAACACAAGCTGCTTTCAGACATGCACTGACGGGCTGGATTTGAGAATTTAAATGTCTGAATCAGTTGCTTTGGATATTTTCTGGAACTTTTCCTGCCTGGCCTGTGGTAAAATATCATGAGAATCTCCAAGTGAGCCAATGTAAGACTACAGTGAGTGGGCATGTTGTTTGTTGGATGATTCAAACATGTGACTAATGCAAAACTGGCCATACATGTAGAAGACACAGATGAAGATGTCAACTTGGAAAAACCACTGGTATAGCGTTTAGGTAGTGAGAATGTTTGTTGTCTATTTGTCAAACTACTGTCTGTCAGATGACCTAAAACAAGGACAATAAATAAGCACGCTATTATTAAATGACACAAACCTACAAAAAGCGAAAACTACCAGCAGATTTTCTTTTTAAATTGAAATCTACCATGGTACTGTGTCAATTTTTTACCGAAAGATGAAAATGACTCTAAAATCCAGTAGAGCACATATTTTTCCCTTGGACTTTTCTTTTCGTGAAACACAAAGTGGACTGCAGTGACTCAACATTTTGCCGTATCAATAAGGGCTTCTCTCTTTTCTATGTCTGGTGTCACTAGTGGTGACTCTGAGTGGTTCCCCAGCCAAAGACCTGCTTTATCAAGCAGCCAATTTAACAAGACAGCTCCTTTCATGCTTGTTGGCTTCTCTACTGGTAATGGATTTCCTCAATGAGTGTCTCTCTTTCTCCAGGTTTCACACTTTTCTCTCTGTACCGCTGGTCCCCACTCCAGATCTGATCTTTCGCCACTGACTTTGATATCTTAAGGTAAGTGATCCATCGCTCCAGACCTGACCAGCATTGCCTGAAATCCGGCCTCACTTTGGCTCATCATGCCTGATATTGTACACTCTAATGCAAAGTGAAGTAGCATGTCTAAATAGCCTGTCACTCCACCCTTCCCATCCTACCCACCTATGCCCATCCCAGCTCAACATCTCTCTCCTTACCCCCCTTTCTTTCTCAGCTGCCCAGCTGGTGTGTGTGGGCTGCGTGGGGGATGTAAACGATACAGTGATATTAAGAGGCATTAAACAAGTTGATGACATTTGGTTGCATTAATGAAGACTGGCACTTCAGACAGGGAGGAGGGAGAATGAGTGACTGAACTGGCAGCTCATACTGTACAGTCAGTGCATGATGTCATTCACTCAAGTTTAACAACCAACTTGGAAATAACCTCTTGCCATTCATTTGAATCCTGCAACTTGAAGGCACGATTGTAGCTTTTTCTTGATGAATTCTATTTGCACTTTGTTCCCAGCTCTCTAGACTAATATCCTACATCAGACTGTGGTTTCCTGCCCAAATTTGGATTGTTTTCAGAGCCTCCTGTTCCTCCTGTTAGGAAATGCAAACCAAGATGTGTGAAAACAGTGTGCATATTGTTTGTTTAATTGGCCGTCACTATTGCTTACCGAAGGCCTAACAGACGTACTGCTTGGGTGTGGGTTTCTCAACGGGAAAGAATAAGCTCAGATCTAACGAAAAAACAGATGATCTGGTTCATCAGCACTCAGTGGCTGTGATATGACCTGTTTAAGCCCATTCACTGCTGACTGCCTTATCGACCAGCAGATGCCTGTGCTCATACTGTAATCAAAGCCAAAAGCAAAGACTGTATATATACAGTATATATAATGGCATTTCTCTATATTGCCTTTCTTATCTATGTTTATGTATATTCACAGTAAAGACACTTCTTTTAAGTGCTGATATACATGTGTTAACGTTCGAGCTTAAAAAACACTCAGTGGCTAAGCCTGGGACATCATCATCTGTACTGATGATATCCTGCAGCTAGCTTGCACACCAAGTATATATTAGCATCTCCCAACACCTGTTCTTTTCCCTGGATTCAAACAGGTTTCATTCTGCTGTTCATTCACTGAAGAATCGCCAAATTTGTGAGCTCTTTCCTGACACCAACTCACAATATATATTTCAGCTCAAAATGAATTCAACCCATTCGATCCAAACAGAATGTTAATAAAAGAAAAATGTTAAAGGTTCAGTGTGTAAGATTTAGGTGAAAGGGATTTTTGGCAGAAATTGAATATTAAATAATCCTAGTGATGTTTTCACTGGTGTGTTTCATCTAAATTGTATGAATTGTTTTTTTCTTTATCATAGAATGGGCCCTTTATATTTAAAAACTTTATATTTACATGGAGGGGGGATCCTCTTTGTGGAGGCCGCCATGTTTTTTACTGTCGTCCAAACTGGACAAACTAAAACCTTTTGAGTTTTCATGACTACTAAAGTTCACCACATGTTCTCTTTCATGTTTGGAAGGGGAGGGTGAGATGAGGAGCATTCAGCTGCAACATGCCACTTCACCTGTAGATGTCACTTAATTCTACACACTGAACCTTTAATATGAATAGTCGTAACCTGTTACATTACTCTTTGTTTGTATGTGTATGTATCTCACATGTTTAAACACCTGTTGCTTGCAGACCACTGCTACTACCAGACCAAACTCTAGCTCAACCCAAAACTCTGCTCAATGATTAAGCAGAATGTTTGGAATGTGCTTGGAGCATTTTCTACTTTAAGCATGTTAGCTGTGTAATGGGGTTCACCTTTTTCTAACCCTAATCTTAAATAGAGAGAGAAAGGCTCCAGTATTTTCCACAGACCAAGATCTCTGTCAGTAAACTACCAGTGCCGCTTTTTCTCCTGTCTGCAGAGGACAGCCACACTGAACGGAGGCTTTGGCAGCCTGCAGGGCTGCTCAAGAAATGCAGTGTTTTTCTGGGTCTTGGATCCATGTGTCATTCTAACTAGCCATTGCTAGTTAGAATGACACATGGATCCATTGTCCACGTGTTAGTAAGAGAGAGATAAGACACAGTGGGGTGAAGAGGGGAAGAGAGACTCAGTACACTGTGTGCAGCTCTACAATGAAGCAATGGTGGAAAACATGAGAGATCTTTTATGTTATGATGAGAAGTGTAAAAAAATGTTTGGTTCATGATGAAACTGTAGCGGGACAAATTAAGGCTATAGGCCATGGGCTGCCACAGTCTAGGTAATTAATGGGAAACACTGGGCTCCAAGCCACTGGTTTAAATATGTGGATTACACATGAATGATAATCAAAACGCTGAGGGGGTTAGGTGCTCTTAACACATTAGCTCACGGGAAGATAACATGAGTTTAAGGGAATTTGTATTCCAGCAAATTTGACACTCCTGTACTGAAATTGAGGCACACACACACACACACACACANACACACACACACACACACACACACACACACACACACACAGTGTCCCATGGTCCCCTGTTGGTGAATGTGTAACGACGCCGAAGTCCACTGTTAGATAGATACACAAGTAAACACACACACACACAAACCAGCAATTCCTTTTTGATTATCACCATTCGCTTGAGCATAAATTGGCCGTTGTTTGAACTTTGCACCAGCGAGTTGAGAAAATATCAAACACTGAGGGTAAACCTTTGGAGCAGGCAACAGGCCTGTGTTTACTCTGCCTGGACCTTTGTCAGAATCCAAACTGGGTCAGTAGAAAATACCAGACTGTAACAGAGACATAAACGCAACACAAAATCTAACCACATTGTTCTCCCATGTATGGCTTGTGTCACTGAAAAGCACCAGAGAACACCAGTATTTCTCAAATCTGGAAAGACTGTGGCAACACATACTTAACCCCAAAGACCACATATCTAAACATCAACAAAATAATGTTGTCCATTCAGAATAAAACGAGGACAAACACATGGCACAACACGGAAGAGGAAGCACCAAACATAACTATGGGAAATTAATCCATTTTTTGTGTGGATTTTCTCCTTTTTTCAAGCTGTATTAAAGTTACAATGTGTAGAATTTTGTGATATCTATTGTTGAAATTGCATGTTGCAGCTGAACACCCCTCACCTCACCCTCTCCTTCCAAACATGAAAAAGAACCTGTGGTAGCTTCAGTTGTCATAAAAACTAAAAAGTGTTTAGTTTGTCCAGTCTGGACTAATGTAAAAAACATGGTGGCCTCCATAGAGAGGGCCCCCTAGATGTAAATATAAAGGGCCTTTTCTGGGGTAAAGAAAACTACAATTCATACAATTTAAATGAAATGAACTAGTAAAAACATCATGAGAATTATTCTACATGAAATTTCTGCCAATAGTTCCCTTTCACCTAAATCTTACACACTGGACCTTTAAGTATTGGTCCAACACAATATCATTGTATATCATGTATTTATACAAGTAAAAAAGAAAGGTCTTTAAGTAAAACTTTACGTATGTTGAGTGTGAGTGAGAAGTGAATTGTTACATTACCTGTGTATACAACTAGATCAATTCAATTAGGACCATAACTGTTCTCTCAGATGCGCATTGGAGACAGATGACAGAGAAATGTGGCTCAAACATGCCATAAACTGGTCTAACTTATGATCCAGACTATGTAATTTAAAAGTGACTGGTCATTACTTTATTAACATTTGATTGATGTTTACAGTGCTTATAAAATTGACCCTGTTAAGGTTATGTCTTTTGTTGTACAAGAGGAAAGTATCTAATCCTGAGGGTGAAATTTGCCTTGGTAGAGGTACAGTAAAATAGTGTGTACCACCTGAAACAGTGTTCACAACCCTATGTTAGAATAGCTGGTGTCATTTGGTAAATTTGACATTGAGACATTTCATTTATTTCTAGAGACATTAATGTTTCAAATCTGATTCCTGCTTTTTGCTACGTTCACCCACCACACCATGTCTTTGTCGCTATACTTCAGATAAATCGTGTGGTTAAGAGGAACTCAAGTTAATGGTTTGTTTTTTTTCTTTTCTAACTATAGGGTATATACGGTGCTAACTCTCTGCCCTGATGCCCACAGAGGCAGTAGGGGAGTGTATACTTCTGAGACATGCATTACAGTGCACAGTTTTCATTGCAACATAGACTATTATTTTGTGTGTAAGAGTTTCTTAGATCAGAGTGTCCCTGGTTTTGGGAATGGTCCCACTCTAGACCGCAAGCAAGAGACCTGTCCTTATGTCACATGTCTTGATCTGATTATCTTTTTGAATATTCTGAAGAAATTCTTAACTTGTTTTGTAATTGACTGCATTTATCTAGAACTTCTACTCTTATCGACCACTTAAAGTGCTTTACATGACAGGTCACATTCACGCAAACACATTCATACAGCATTTGCGCAATACACAGTACACACACCAATCAAACATCAGGGACGATTCGTAATTCAGTATCTTACCACTTCAACATGTGGACTGGAGGATCCATGAATTTAACCACCAATCCTCCAATTAATGGATGACCCGCTGTTACTCCTGAGCTACAGCTGTCCAGTGAGTCAATGTCAAATTAATCCTTTACATTTAAAGGTTCATTTATGCATAACGTTAGCTAAGATAATGTTCAATAGATGGAAGCAGACGGAGCTTTCTGTCCATTCAGGGTGGGAATCTCGAGGCCCCTCATGATGCGATTCGCTTCCGATTCAGAGGGCTGCGATTTGATGCATCAAATAATTTTATTCCTATTTATTTTGATTCTTTTATTACTGTGCGAACATGAGAGGTGTGCATCTTCACTAGCCTCCTGATTTGTGCTTTAAAAAGTTTCTTAGACTGTTTCTGTTATTACAAGTGTGCTGTAATTTACAAAATAAGGTTTTCAATTCAAAAATCAGACAGTCAGTCTATAACAGTGGTCAGTGCTCTCAACATTAATTTAACATTCATTCAGTCTGTAGCCTTTACTGTAT